TTGGATAAAATAAAAGTCGGTGGTGACTCTTGCTAACCCGAAACATTTTGTGAACACAAACGCAAAATCTCAAGTCAGTTATCCCACCGTATCACAGGGGTATACAATTTATGAATGGGGATTGCAATAATATAAACCTAATTAATCTATTACAACCAAATTGAATTATTGTACATATAATTGGAATAAATAGTATACAAGATGAATTAAATATGCAAGAATTTGTAAATGCAAAGAAGATTTTTGTTTGGTTTTTTATGTGAAAAAGTTTTGACCTAAACCTAATTAGAGAAAAATAAATAAATCAAAATTAAATTAACTTAAGTTAATTAAGAAAATAAATAAATTAAGAAAAGATCTTTTTTTGAATAAAAACCCGAATTCTATTTTAATTGAAAGAACATGAGTTTTAAAGAAAAGTATTTTTGTATTTTTTTGTCTTAAAAAATAGATTGTAGTATTATGAAATATTTTTGGTCCTTTTTAATATTAAAATAATATATTTAATGGGTATAAAGAAAAAATAAATATTAACCTAGTTCTAATTTAATTTACAAGGTTATTTAATAAAGAATAGATAATATATAACTAAATAAAAATATTTTTTATGAGAAAAATTAAATAAAATAAGCAAAAATATAAATCTATCATTTTTATATTTTTTATGATTTTTTAATATTAAGAAAAATATATTTAAGAAAATAAAATGAGAATAAAATAAATAAATAAAATGATAATGGGCCAGGGGTGTCACAAGTAAACAGGGTGTAAATGTTAGGAAAAAAAATCCATAGGCCCATGAAACAGAAGCCCAGCGCTGCAAGGGACAAAAAATGTGGAAAAATGTGAGAAAATGCAAAAGGCAGCGCGCTGAGGCTCGAACCCATGACCTCTAGCAATTACGCGCGCTGCCTTACCACTGGGGTGGCTGTACATCCGTTTATATAATTTAAACCACAAATATATATTAGAAACTTCTTCCTGAAGGCAACTTCATCTTCAACCTTGAGCCATGGACGGACCACATGTATCTTCCTCATTTCTCCATAAAATTGGAAAGTTCAAATATGAAAATTGTGGTGTTTCTTCCCACGAGTTCAAACACATAACTTATGTAAACTAAAAGTCAAAGATAAAATCTAATTTTACTGGCCCTAATTTTAAACCTAATTTTTACAGAAATTTCAAATCCAAAATTCTCTATACACAGTTAATATAAATGGAAACTATGAACACGGTTAGCTTTAGAGCAAGGATAACTACATCTTGTTTTCACAAATCAGGATTAAATGATGCTTGTATGAAGAGATAGAAGTTTGAGTTTTTACCTCTTGCAGCTGGAATCATGAATGGAGTTTGAGCAAGTTTTGAGAAGGCCTGAGGATTTGTTTAGCTTGTCTGGACCTCCCTGAGTGTATTCCAACCCTTACTTTGTCTTGAAAGTCCCTAAATCTCTCTACTCAAGTCAACCTGCAAGCTTGATATTTGAAAATGGTGGATGGTGATGGAGGAGTTACAGTGAGGGAACAAGGACCTGGATCACTTTGATATGATGTATATTAAGTGTTTGGGTGGTTAAAACTTAATACGCACGAGTGGATTTGGAGATGGCTATGTGAGGTTCAAAACGGTCAAGTTATGGCAGATTCTGAGTTGCAAAGTGTTTGAGAGTGTTTTGGAGTCTTAGCCTTCGTGTCTCAACTTGAAAATAGTGTGTCTACTCATTAGTAAAAGGTCTTAAGTCTTGTAACAACTCAGATTTCAAGAACTCACATGTTTTGCTTGGTTACTTGTTTTTGAAGCAAGGCTAGCAAGCATGGTTTCAAGGTGTAGTACCAAGCTTATAGGGGGTCTGAGACCTTTAAACATATTTGTTCTGATTGAGTGGAGTGTGTTTGTGCAGAAAAAACAAGTGCAAGGCTCAATGCAAGCTGACTTTGCATAAAGCTTGCTTTTCCAAAATGGCAATGTTGCCTTTCTCCCAAAAATGGAATTATTCTTGTACAATGCATTCAATGCTTGGCTTAAAGCTTCCAACAGCTGCAAAAACATTTAATTGTGGAGTGAAAGTCAAGTTAGAAGCCTGCAAAGTAGGATTTGTTCAGCATTCTTGAGGATTGGATCCAATGTTCTTCACAAAATGGCTTGAAATCCAAGTGACAAATCACCAACTTCATCTCTTCGATTCTCCTTATTCAAGAATGATATCAAGGAGTTCTTGGACATTTTGGAAAGATTGCAATGTTATCTGCAACTAATCTTTGAATTTATTTTGAAAATTCCTCTTTGAACCATGTGAAAAATTGCCATGAAGTTAGGTCAAAAATCTGCCTAACTAGGGCAAAATTTCACTAAGTTATCTTTAGTTCATGAACATGTATTCACAAAATTATATCTTGAGATCCAAGCATTTTTAGGAGAAGTTGTATGAAGAAAAGTTTTAGATTTCATGGAGATATGCAACTTTCATGTTGGAAGTTTCCTTTGAATTACTTTGCATCATGGTGAAAATTTGGCTCAAAGTTGTGAAAAAATAAGAAATTTTCTATACTTAGAAAATTTCTAAGTTAAAACATTTCAACTTTTCAAACTAAAATCATGAATTCTTGATTTATTGGTGAACAAGTTTCATGTTTTGACATGTTTTGATGAATTATGATCTTTGGCATTTGATTTTGCCCAAAAAGTCAAAGTTTGACTTTTCAGTATACAGTTGACTTTTGATCTGTTGACTGAAAAATTCATCTGTCAATCCAATGGACTTGTAATGTTTTGAACCATGTCATTAGGTCAAAGTGATGAAATTGGAATCTTGAGATCATGCCCTAACCCAATTGATCATTTTCTAGGTCAAAAACCAGAAATTGCCCTTTCTCAGTCAAAACCCTAATTTTGACCATTTTGCCCTTTTGATGATTTGATCAAATTTCTTGCGGAATTATGGTCCAAACTTTATCAAATGATACATATGAGTCTAAGATGTTGATGTGGATAAAAAATTATGAAGTTTGACTGTAAATTGGCCATGGTTGACTTTCTCCCCGATACAACTGATTTTTAGGTCAACTGTTCAATTGACTGATCAAAAGTGTGATTCAAGACTTGAAACTTGACATGAGTAATCTTAGGGGTCCGTAATGATCCTTGAAAGTCATATGAAGCATTTATAGTCCAAAAATCCTTGTGCAAACTCAAACCCTAATTTTGGTCATTAGTGCATGAGGAGGTGTCTTGAGCTGGTCAAACCCTAATGCAGTCTTGAGTCAAAGAGATCTTGTGAGAAAATTCTTGATAAGTGAGAGGGAAAATTTTGGGGTACAACACGTAGTAACTTTAAATTCCACAATTTATCTCTTTTATACATAATATGCTAGTAATTAGGGTTTGTGTGGAAAGACTAAAACCAATACTTAGAAAACCCTAATTCAAGACAAAAACAAGCATGAAAACAATACACTTGCACACAAGCACCCCTAGGGTTATTCCACTTGGTTGCCTTATACAAAATGGCCATATTACGCATGTAAGGTATCTTAGCAAAAAAACAAGCAAGTACAAGATCATAGTCCCTCGATGACGCTATCTAAGTTGCCTTTCAAATGATCTTAGTCCCTAAAAGAGAATGCTAAGATACCTTTCAACATTGCTAATCATGGTTATACAATGACCCACGCCCGTCCCGTTTATGTTCAAAGATAGGGTTACTTACCAAATCAATGGTAAGGTAATAATGTCAAAGGAAAAGGAAAATAAACAAGAAAGACTTTTGAGTAGGTAGAATGCTCCTAATTACTTGCTCAATTTCAAGCAAACGTCCTTGCTATTTTCAAAAACAAACACTTATACTTTCAAACATCTTACAAAACTTGAAAACATTTTCAAAATAATAACATCTTTGTATAAATTATTACAAACAAGGATAATTACAAAGATTTCCTAAACAATGGCCTCTTTACAAAATACCTTCAAAAAACCACACCAAGCACAATTTAAAACAAAAAGCAAGTGATCTAGCAAGTAACTAAGAGCCCATGGAAAACCATGGATGAAAAAGGTGCTAATACCTTCCCTTTTCACAATCTACCCCCTAGAACTCAAGAAACAATCTCAAAGGTCTTTCCTGTGCTTTTTCACCTTTCCTTTTGGATAAAAGAAAAGTCGGTGGCGACTCTTGCTAACCGCAACATTTGCGATCAAACGCAAAACACCCAAGTCAGTTCTCCCACCGCATCACAACATCTTTTTGAGGACTTTAATAAGGGATGGGGGAATATATGCGAGCACAAATATAAACACACGTGCAGAATACCTACTTCAAAGGTAGGGTTTGAAACAAACCACACACAAGTAGCACACAAAATGCACACAAAGCGGAATTGCCCTAAACGGGTCTTTAAATAAACTAGAAGGGTTCCTGACATGATCAGCAACAGAGACCCCCGACATACATCTTTACCCTACTTCTCATGGCATCAGAAAGCAGTAAAGCCCTACCTATCATTATCTCTATAAAAGTGGTAAATAAGTATGATAAAGCGCGAGAATCAGGAATAATTAAAGTTGCGATGATACTGAACGGAGAAGGTCCGTTGCCTCTTCAAAACCATGCAAGCGATAAGAAAAATCTACAGAAGCTACTTCAAACAAGTGATTAAACAAATTAATCTCCAAGAATTCCACATCATAAATGTTGCATCAGTATTATCACAAAGCTAGCAAATCTCATGATCATTCGATGAAACATAAAGCATATTTTTATCCTTTTTTATACGACTTTCTGAAGCTCTTTAACCAAATACATACCAAAAGAATATAAAAGTGATTAATATTGATGAAAAAATATCAAGAGAATTAAGAAAAGGATTCTCTAATTAAATTCTAAAGCGGCTAATATTTTAATTCATGTATCACTAATTAACAATCAAAATAAATGGCAAGAAAAATTAATAAAAAATAAATCACTTAAAAATGTTCATAAAGGGGTGTATAGTTTAATCCGGATGGTGATTAGCAGGCCCCAACGTTACAACCCAACAAGAATAGTGCACCAGTTTATTGTGTTTGCAAAGATATCAAGCTGCAAAAGACTAACATACAAGCCTATGGAGTTGGAGTATGCAGCTTGGCCCAAGAGGCCTCACGTTCTCCAATCATGTATTGATTATCATCTATTTAAGATGAATTAAAACAAAGATTATCTATAAAAAAACAGAAGAAAAAAAACAAAATAGAAAAGGGATTAGGGTTCAGAATTGTGGCCATTGGACATCCATGAGAAAACACATTCACGTCCCTTCGTTAACAAATGGTGCCGACAGCTTGTTCTTCTTCCTCGAATACTTCCGTCACCATACCATCTCTCTGTCCACCGCTTTTGTATTCATCACCTCTCTGATCGGTGTGGATCACTCGCCGTAAAATCTCCCACTCGCCATAGCTCTATTCTTCTTCTTCTTTTCACCAAGCTTCCCTTTGTCTCAGACCTAGGCTTCATCTTTATACCTTCCTCAACCTTACTTCTGATCCTCCATGGAACCAAGAACGAAACACATATAGTGTACTCTTATCCCCTCTTGACAGGAGAAGAGACACGTTTTTCGGCAAAGACTCAAACTCCGGTAAGCTATTCCCTCCGCTTTGATCTTATTCCTCCCTCTCTTTTGTTCTTCTTTTTCTTTTCTTGATTCTTTCCGTGTTGAATCCAAGTTTACTTCTTCAGTTGTTGTGCTGTGCGATTTCATGATGATGATTCAAGATGTAACAACGTGTTGCTGTTTTGTAAAGAAGATCGAGATGCTGATGCGCTACAGTGATTAATACATGTTTTCGTTGGAGATTTGGAGAATATGATGAGATGCACGAAGACGTTGTAGTGGTGAAGAGATCGAAGCTTGTGAAGAGAAGTTGGTACAGTGAAGGTGCAAATGAAGATTGAAGATGTGTATGATGATTTAGGTTGCATAAAGTTGTTGCAGTTTGATTAAAATTCATAGAGAATGGTGGATTGAGAAACAGTGAAGATGGGGATGAAGAGAGTGAAGGAGTTTCTTGCAGAGAAAAGGTGAGGTGAATTTTCTGATATTTTTCTATTATGAATGCCTCTCCAATCCTCTTATCTTTTTTCTATTTTTCTTATGGCTGGAACTTTTTTCTGTTGAGGTCGTTAGAGGTTATATTTTTTATTTGTTTTGATAGTTTTCAGGGCTGTTTAGAGGTTGGAAACTGTTAGAGAAAAACAGTTAGGGTTCAGAACTTGGAATTCTGTTTTGGAAGTTATAGATAGTTAGGAAATGTTTTGGAATTTAGTTAGAATTTTGTTAGGACAGTTTGTTGGTTGAGTTATAAGGTTAGTTACGGTGTTTAGAAATTCTGTTAGAGAGGAGGTTAGTTATTTGGAATGTTGATAAACTGGAAGATTCTGCTATTATAACAATTAGGAATTAGTTGGCTAGAGGTTTGTTAGAGAGTTGTTAGAGGACTTAGAGGAAGTTAGAAACTGTTAGGAGTTATTTCTGTTAGTTTTCTGTTCTGATATTTCTGTTATGAAGTGATACAGGTTTTCTTTCTGGATTTTCTGATAAAGCTGGTTTTTCACATATGTAGTTAGCATTTGAGCGCAGCAGTTTAATTGATGTGAACCAATTTTCATATTGACTTTCTAGGCTAAACTACTTCTGATCTTTATTATGCAGGTTATGATAATATTTGGTTGTGTATGTAGGGCTGTAAAGGAAATATTTTGGAACTGTTTTGACAAATTCTCATCTGTTTTGGTCAGGTTGATGAGGGCAAGGCGCACAAGGTATATGAAGATTGTTTGGTTTATTGAAAGCTTGACGATGAAGTTTAAAAATGGAATTTAGGACTTAGAAAAAAATTAATGATGTAATGAATTTTATTGTAAGAATCTTGTATGAAACATGGTGAACTTTTGTAATCCTTGAGGAATTGAATGAAGTTGCTCTTGAATGTCTCATGTGAAAACAATATGAAACTTGTAGATTTTGAACTTGAATGTTTTGTAGAAAACTTTATGAAACTTGTAGTTTGTATATACCAAAAATTTCAAAAGTAATTAAATCAAACTTCATACTCTCTTTGATTCTAGCCAAAACCTTGGAGCTTACCCTGTATCTTGAAAATGGAACAACAATAATTTTGAATTTGGCTCTCAAATTTTCAAATGGGCATAAAAAATATTTTGAAGAACAAAACTCTTACTTTGTCTCAAGATGCTTCAATTGAAACTTCAAAAATTGACAATAATGCAAGTCTTCCCAAGCAGCAAATATCGATGGCCATTTGAAATTGACCTTACCTAAACCAAAGGTTGAAAACCCCATGATAAGCCCAAAAAGATCTTATCATAACTTCGTCATTTGAATTCAAAAATTGGACAAAAATCCACTTGCTTTTAGAAACCAGATACAATCCCTTCTGATGAAAGTCTTCATAGAAGCTCTCCTTAATCACTGAGATTAAGAACAAAATCTTTCCTTTCAAGAAAATTTGAAGAATTATAAGACTAGAATTAAATACTAATGAACCTCAGTTGATCAAGCTCAAACATAATTAGTAAAAACCCTAATCTTACACTTCAACACTTGCAAATCACGAATCCTCTAATGTCACAAAGAATCAATAAGATATCCTGAGACCTGAGAAGTATTGGTAGCCCGATTGATCAAAATAATGAGGAGATGAGATCCATATTAGACTGATTTTCAATACAACCACTTCCACAGCTTTGAGAACCAAAAATCCTTGATTCCATCACAATGCATGAATGCAATGCAATATGATGATTATGATGAAACATAAGCCTAAATCAAGAGGGTAAATTTCGGGCTGCAACAGTTGCCCCTGTTAAATTATCTTGAACCTGATAGGTGAGAAAAGTGACAACTTTCGAACGTTCATAGTTGAAGATGATTGAATACAAAGGAACCCGAAAATTTACACTCTTGAAAAAGAGAAGCAAAACCTGCCGAAGACAATAAATGCCAGTAGACACGGGACTTGGAAGATTAGACGAAACTAAACTTCAGAACAAAGTGTCAGGATAAAAATGGATCACAAAAGGGGGTGAGATAAGACTCAAACCACAAAGAATAGACGAAACTAAACTCTGGAAAAGTACGTGGGGTAGAGTGGCTAGAGCGCGTGATTTTAGGAGCACCTGCTAGTCTCCAACCAAGGGAAGACAATGAGATGGAACTGAAAGATCCCAAGAGTCATAAAAGAGACACGTTTCAATCCAAGATAGATAATATGGAGGAACTAAAAGAATCCCATGAGTAAGAAACAACACGAGACGAAACTCGACTCATTATAACTAGTTAGACAAAACTAAACTAGATGAGTACCAGAATGAAAACTAGATTTCACGCATGGGTAACGAGGAAAAACTCGACCCATAGCAAAAAGTGATGAGAGTGCATGTTTCTCAAAGCACCTGCTAGTCTCAAACTAAGGGAAGACGGTGAGATAGAACGGAAAGATCCCAAAAGTTATAAAGGAGACACGTTTCAACCCAAGATAGACAGTATGAAGGAACTGAAAGAATCCCAGGAGTAAGAAACAAAACGAGATGAAACTCGACTCATTATGACTGTTAGACAAAACTAAACTAGATGAGTACCAGAATGAAAACTAGACTGCATGCATAGGCGACGAGATAAAAACTCGACCCAAAGAAAAATGGTGAGAGCGCATGTTTCTTAGAGCACTTGCTAGCCTCTACCAGGGATAAACAGTAAACGAAAACTGATAGAAGAATCCAAGTAAAAAAGCAGACTGATTTCAACCAGGGATGCAGTTACGAACACTACAAAGAGACTCGGTAAACGAAAGTCGACAAAGGATTCAGTAATCAAACACTGATCGAAGTCCAAGGTATGAAAGCAAAACGAGACGACACTCGACTCATTATAACTAGTTAGACAAAACTAAACTAGATGAGTACCAGAACAAAAACTGGATTTCATGCGCGGATGAGGAGACGGATCTCAAAACTCGACCCAAAGTAAGGTGATTAGGGCGTACTACTAAAAACCTGCTGAAAATGAATATCAGGATGAAACTGGTATTAAAAAAGGTACATTAATAGATATTAGAATGAACCAACGGGGGTAGAAAGACTAAACCCGAGAAAAATGAGCCAGGGTAAAACTGAACTACAATCAAGAGTAGATGCTCAACCCTTCAAATGATTAACATCAAAAGGATATTTGTATGGGGTGAAGCTGAGATACTAAGGATGAAGACCTCGTTGGGGATATAATCCTCAATCAAAGATATTATTTTTGGGGGTACACAAATCCTCGAACAGAAAATATAGTCAGAACCACGCTGGTGGAGATTGACGATACTCTTAAAAAATGGCCAAACCTACTGGGGAAACTTCTGTCAGAAAATAATTTACCGACTACCGAAGATTAACAAAATCTCAATTAATCGACCATCATCAACTCTACTGGGGATAAGGAAATATCCTTAAATAAGGATGCCCTGAGCAACAAAATAGTTCGGAAATGAGAGATCAGGACAAGGAATCTTTGATTGACAACTCCGCTAGGGAATTGAAACTTCTTCAGACCGTGAATTCTCATCTAAGCAACTCCATTGGGGACATGAGACGTCTTCAAACTTGAAGTCTCAGGACAAAGCCTTTCTCTGAAAAAGATTTTTGGGCAACAAAACTCTGCTGAGGAAACAAAACTCCACCGAGGATACAAAACTCTGTCGGGAGTATTTTATTGGGGATATCAAAATCTTTCGGTGTGAAACCATAAAATAGACCATGATGAAGATAGTCAAACAATATCAAATTTACTGGGGATATGGAAATCTCATCCAACATCAACTCTACTGAGGATTATAAAATATTCTTTTGATAAAGAAATACCCCAAGTCACAATTTAGATGGGAAAATGAGAACTTATGAATGTGAAATTCAATGATAATTAAAATCGGAAGGTAAACTCTGCTGGGAATAGTCTCTATTAAGGAACAAGATGATTTTCATCAAGACTTGGTTGGGGAATGAAGGTATCCAAAAACCTTATCTGCCTCGAGAATATCTCATATGACAATGCTGAGGAGAAGCAACTCTGCGGGGAATTCCCTATTCCAAAGTTTAAAAGTTAGAGATAAGATTCTGGCATGGGTGCTGACAAGCTGCAACTTACATAGTGAACGACAATTCATGGAGAGGACTTCATGGGATCCATACCATCATTGATATGTTGACCCAGAGTCGCGGAACTTTGAGAGATCAATCCTCAACTTGACTGACCCGGATTGGTGAAATGAAAAGACCAATATCTCCTTCCGCGGATAAAGAGAACCTTGTTGGAAACTAGGACTTTCTGATATAAGTCCTCAATGAAAGCAATTTCGACTGGGGAAACGTGAAAATTCTTAAACAAAATAATTCTAACCAGCCCACCCCGTGGATACTACCGCTGGGGAGTACCAATCTTTACTTGGGGAAAAGGTGGGTATCTTTGAACCATAAGCTTGAGGTTCATAACTCGCCTGAAGAAATATTTCAGTCATACTCTATCACTAGGGATAAAGATCCTTTATACTATCAAGGATATTAAGATCCATGCTGGGATAAACGTCCTTACAAAAAGAACTCTTGTCAGGAATGAGATATTCTTCGTATGAGAAACTCAACAAAATATGTTGTTGTTGGAAGTACGAGAATCTTCAGCTCCCATGGGGAATAAGGATGTGCTTCAATCAGAACAAAATCCTACTATGATGCTGTATCATGAGGCTAGTAACCACAATAGCATACTCTTTT